TCAAGCAGTCAGTAGCAAAAGAGGATCCACGGTTGCCCCAAGACATTCAAGAACAGACCAGAGGCACATAAGAGTCCCTGGCAGCTGAGGCACATGGACAGACCAACAGAAATCAGCAGTGCCCCAAACACTGATGAATAAATAATTAAACAATAACCATTAGCTCCTAAGTATGATTATGCCCATTTAAAAAATGGCATTAAAAAAAAGAATAAAGAAAAAAAGAACAACTCAGAATTTAAGCCATTTGCCCCAGCTGTCAAGCCCATAGCAGTTAAAAAAGCAGACTCAAGTCAGAATGCCTGCGATGGAATCCTGGCTTGGTTACTTGCCTAGCTGTTTCACAGTGGACCATTTCATTAACCTCAGTTGCTTCACCTATAAAAGATAATCAGAGGGCTGGGGTTGGTGGCTCAGAGGTAGAGCACTCACCTGTCACATGTGAGACCCTGGGTTCGATCCTCAGCACCACATAAAAATAAATAAACAAAATAAAGATATTGTGCCCATGTATAACTAAAAAAATATTTAAAAAAAAAAAAAAAGATAATCAGAATGCTGACTTTAAAATATGGTTCTAAAGGCTAAATGAAGTTAACAGGTATAAAGCAGAGTACCAGGCACATATCAGCATAAGTTTTAGCTCATATTAACAGGGTGAAATCTGGACTAAAACTGGACTCCAAGTTCAGCATTCCATAAATCCCATTAACTTACAATACTACTTTTATCTGTCAGGGTAGCCAAAGATCACCTTCCAGCCCAGTTTACCTGGGGACTCTCTATAAACTGAAGGCCTAAGCAACAGTAGAGAATTCAGAACTGCTTTCCAGGAGCCTGGGCAAGGGGGCGGCCCTGCCCTGCTAAGCCCCCACGTTTCCCCAGACACTCAATAGTGTAAAAGAGCTCGCAGGCACCCCATCCATTTGAAGACCCTGGCCTCCCCCACACTAGTTCTTTGCTCAGCTACTTGTGTTCCCTGCTCCCCGACACCTCAAACTTAACTCCGAGAGAGAACCTGTTTTCCAGGCTGTCATCACTCATGACCCTGCATCATTCTGTCCATCTGGGCATGGGAGTGCTTCGTGGGGCAAGTTCTGTACACAGTCTCTTCTAGTATCACAGCCCAGACCACAGCAGCCATTCTGTTGGTAAGCAAGCAAGGCTACTTCCCAGCGGCCTAAGTTCCTACATCAAGCTACCTAAAGGAAACTCGAGTCATACACATGAAACAACTGGTAAAGCAGAAATAGATCTTTTAAAGTTGGGGATAAGCTCTTTTAAACTTCTAGTTTTATCAGTCTTGAGAGTTGGTCCTGATTTTACTTTATGTCTGGGAGGGAGCTGTTTGTCAGAAGGATTTAGAAGGACAGTTTCAGAGTTTGTGACAGACAGCCAGGCTTGCCTGCTGTCTTCTAAGTGGTAGTGATCTTGAACTTTGTTTTAGGTCCAATCAGGACAGGGTCATGTAGCAATAGAAAGCAGGGGAATAAAAGCAAATTGTGATGCCTTAACTCCTCTTTTATGTGAAAAGTACTTCAAAGCTAAACAAAGACACAGATACCAACTCATCACCCAAGTAATTTATAGGACTGTTTTAAAAATTTTTAAAAAGTCCCCTTTTAAAAGGCTGGTTTCAGTGCTGCCACTAACTCATTTTTGGCAAGCCCCGTTCCTTTCTGAGCTTCAGTTTCCTTCCTTGTGAAACTCAGGCCAGATCAGACATAAGACTTCTGACTCTATAGCTTCTGTTTTTACATAGTGCTTCTGGGTAGAACTTGGTTTGTCCTTACTCAGAAAGGAAAGATGTGAGCACAGAGTTTACCAAAGCAGGATAGGGAGAAGACCAAGAACACTGTAAAAAATTTCCTTCTTTCTTAGTTTTGGGTTATTTATACTTCAAATAATTTCTTGAGACTATAGACATGCCTTTGGTACATTCACTTGGCAGCTGAAGGGGGAAAAATAACCAATCTATTGGCCCAACAGTAAATTAGACTGCACTTGGTCTCTGCCTATCCTTAGCCCTTGAGTCCCTTTTCTCGAGCCCACCTTCTCCTCTAACTCCTAATTATCTCTAAATTCTATAATGATCTCTACAAAGCTAATGAGCTAACCTGCCATTTCGTCCAGTGATCTTGCTCACCATGCAAGTCTTCTACAGTCCTCCGACTTCACAATAAGTTAGCAAGATTATTTTGGGGGTGGGGTAGTTGTTGTACTATCCCTTCAAATACCACTGTAGGGGCCCAGTAAAAAAAATATGGGCACCAGCTTCCACTGAGACTTCAAGGCAGATTATCATACTTTGGTCTAATTTCAAAATCATTCTAGGGCTGGGGATGTGGCTCAAGCGGTAGCGCGCTCGCCTGGCATGTGTGCGGCCCGGGTTCGATCCTCAGCACCACATACAAAAACAAAGATGTTGTGTCCGCCGAAAACTGAAAAATAAATATTAAAAAATTCTCTTTGAAAAAAAAAAAATCATTCTAAATTGCAGGAGATGGAGCAGAGGGTGGCTGTGAAGGACTTTTCTGTTTAACAGAGTAGAAATTAGGTTATCTCTAGGATTCCCTCCAGTTCTGACATTACTAGACAGGATCGGCAGGCTGTAAACCCTGGACTCTGTATCAGATCATGACCACTAAATCTTGGAAGCTTGAGTCAGGAAAATTAACCTGGAGATATTTGGATCTTTGTTCTCCACTTTTAATATCACCCGTTTACTTGCAAAATTAACAGACAATAAAGATTGTTAGGGGCTGGGATTGTGGCTCAGCGGTAGAGCGATCCGCCTAGCACAGGCGGGACCCAGGTTCGATCCTCAGCACCACATAAAAATAAAGGCATTGTGTAGTGTCCATCTACACCTAAAAAATAAATATATAAAAACATTGTCATTTTCACAAGCTGAGCAAATTTCTTCACTGAGCCCAGAACACTGTAGAGAATCAAATATTTTGAAGACTCTAAATAAGTAAAAGGGAATATATCAAGTATGTGACCTAAAGCAAAATATTTCATTTCTCTAGTTTGAATTTCTCCTTATCTGGAGCACTTATTGCTATTCCCAGTTTACACAGCAATTCTATGACCTTAGGGATAAAGGCATGCTCCTCACAGGTTTTAGATAACTTGTCCCATGTCCTGTGCACTAGTTCAGTACTGAATATTAAGTCCAACCCCAAAGCCCATGGTATTAACTACTATTCTCTGCTGCTTCTGATCACTGTGGAATTCCTAAAAACTCTAGCTGTAAGGTAAATTTCAAAGTATTTATATTTTGGGAGAGTAAGCAAGGACTGTAAATTGAGGTTAAAGTTTTAAAATTGGCATCAGTGAAATAAAGGTAAGGGAGTGTTTGGCAACGCAAAATTCCCACATCTCACAACAGTCCTGAAGTATGAAATCCAGAACATTCATTAACCATGGTGAAAACACCTGAGAAAGGATGACTTAAAAATAAGTGACTGGGCTGGGGATAGAGCTCAGCTGGTAGAGTGCTTGCCTCACGTGCACAAGGCCCTGGGTTCAATCCCTAGCAACACACACACACACACACACACACACACACAGGAGATGAGCTCCTGGATCACAGGCAAAGAAGAAATATCCCGAGAGTCTTTTCAAAACAAAAGCATTCACTCTGGGGAAAAGGTGGGCTTTTCAGACTTAAAGGGGCAGGGACTGACATAAAGAAATAAGTCTATTTTGGAAAAGGGCCCCGGGTGATATGGTTTGACATCCAATCCATTGTCAAAACAACTAACTTGAAAACAGGACAAGGAATTCTCTTGGCATAGGCTAATGGGATTCTATAGTAAAATTGGGCAAATGCTCCAAAGGAAAAAAAGAAAAAGACTTTAGGAAACCAGCCTACCCCACCACAAATCCTACTTACTCTTAAAAGTTTGTTCTTAGGTAGAAAAGTAGTGTTACTCATTTTGAAAGGACTCAAGACCTTGAAAGACACGCTGGGTCCACATAAGTATGAGAGGTACATAAGAACAAGGAGTTATAGTCCAACTTCCCTTTCAAGCTGATTAACCTTAATCAAATTAAGTTCACCTCTAAGCCTTAATTTCTCTATTTATAGAAATGGGACAGAATTTACTTTAAACATTATTACCTAAAATCACTCAGTGCTCAGACCATCCCTGAGACAGATTAATCTTCCCCTTGATTCTTCAGTCTCAGTGAGTCTCTTCACACTTTTCTAGCCCACTGTTCCTTTTCCTCTATGAACAGATCCTGGTTACTTGTTCCCGGAGGGCTACAAGCTCTTTGGTCCCACAGAGCCTAATTTTCTTTATAAGTAAAATTACTTCCCAGTCAGATTCTGAGGTTAGGAAAAAGATTAAGAATGCAAAAAGGCGGGAAAGATGCCGGTGTCTTGTATCTGACAGTTCTAGGTCCCCCTATAGGAGTTAAAGTCTTCTGGGGCATGCAGACTAATAAGAGAAAATCAAGCCGGTTTCCTGACTACTCTGGGATGAAGGGCTGGCGGGGGGGTCTCTGAGGAAAACGCAGACTAGGAATGCAAGAGTTTGGGAGACAGAGCTGGAGGATGTCAACAAACCAGGAACTAGAGAGAGGGTGGATAAGAGAGTCTTTTTTGCTTTAGAAGGAAAAAAAAACCCTAGAGGGTGAGGGCGCTCCCTACACAGTTCTGCCAACAACTCAGAACAAGACCCCTACCCCTCCCCATCAGCTCTTATAGGTAGAAAACATTTAAAAAATAAAATGGGCACACTAAGTACCAAGATAATGGTCAGCGTTTAAATGAGCTTTTATTATGAAAATGCCAACTACCATAAGGGGCCCGAGGCTGATCTAGAGTACGGATAAGAGGGCCTCCCAATGCCTGGGCCTGGGAAAGGAGGGTGTGTCTGAGCCCAGGGTGACAGGACCAGGGCCTCGGGGGCCTGGGGACTGTGCGGCCGGGCGCTCCGGAGGGAGGGCAGGCGTCCCGGCCCTGCATGGGCCCGGGGTGTCCCTACCTTTGAGCGAGGTCTCCACCAGGCGCAGGTAGAGCTGCGAGCTCTTGTTGCCGTGACTCATGCGCTGGGCTAGCCCGTTGCGCTGCAGGACGCACTCCTCAAACTGCACGACATTCTGGTGGCGCCGCTTGAGGCTGGTCAGGGCCCAGAATTCGGCCAGCGCCAGCTCCACGTTCTCGGGGGCATCGCAGCGGATCTTCTTGACCGCCACCCGGGCCCCGCTGCGCCCGGCCACTGCCTCGTAAACCACGCCGTAGCTGCCGCGCCCGATCTCCGCCAACAGGCTGTAGCGCGGCCGCGCAGACCCGCCGCCGCCCTCGGGCCGCCGCCTCGCCAGGTAGGCCTCGCCCGGGACCTCGGCCGCCACCGGATCCATGGCCTGGGCCGCCGCCGCCGGCCTCAGCTTCGCGCTGGGCGCCCGCGGCACTGGGCTTCGCCTTTTCCGCTCCAGGCTTTGTGTACCTCTGCGGGCGCCGTCCTCCTCCCCCGTTTCCATGGCTGCAGGCGGCGGGGGGAGCAGCAACGGTGCTGCCCGGGACCCCCCTGCCTCATCCCTCCGTCCGGCCCCGGGACGCGGAGGAGCGGGACCTTGGATTGTGACCTGTGGGCGAAAGAATCAGTTAAACGATTAGGACGAGGCGGGGAGGCAAGGAGCGCAGGCCGCAGAGCGTCCCACCTCCTCCTCCACCGGCCGCCGCGGCCCCTTTAAGACAGAAGCCACCGCCGGGGATTGAACGGGGGAGGGGAGGGGAAAGCGGGAAAGACGGAACCACCAAGCAGTGGCTCAGAGGGTGAACCGGAAAGAAAAGCAAAAACTTTCCGCTTTTTCCGTTAAGTTATCGGGTAGGAATAGGAAAAAGAAGAACCAGCAGCCTCCACGATGTATGAAAAGCGCCTTCAATGAGGGATTCTGACTGTTCAAATATTCTTCCCTGATTGGTCTCCTTTGAGATCCCCCTCCCCGCCTCCTGCCTTGTGCGCTCCCGGGTGTAAACAGTCCATTGAATTAAGACCTAGCAGAGCCCAAAGGATCGACCCAAGTCCCCCAGGGCACCGGGTACAGGAAACGGACTAAAAGTTCGGCCTCTCGGAGTGCGACAAACCGAAGACCCCGTTTCCCGCCCCAGTCACCAAGGCAGCGGGCGGTAGCTCCAGAGCTGGCTCTCGCCTTTACTCCCCGGGCCCGACCTTACCTGGCCGGCACCGTTCCACTTCCGGGCGGCCCGCTTTCCCCCTGGAGCCCTTGCCTGGGGATGGTCCGTTCCGGGCCGGAGCTGCCTCCGGGACCTAGTTTCGCGGGAGGCGGTGGCCCGAGTGAGGCGTACGACAGATCTCACTGATGCGCCGGTGGTGGCAGGGGCGCTCGCGGGGGAGGCCCAGGCTTCCAGGTTCTCGTGCCTCTCCACGTGTTCGCGCCAGCTGAGCCCTTTACATAACCTCTTTATATAAGCTGCACCTCCTGCTGCCGCTCGGGTCAGTGGAGATTCCTGGTGGCCCATCCCCCGGGAGGCCAGCCGAGTTCTGCGCCGCCCAGGTCTTGGCAAGGTCGACGCAGCCGTCGCCACCCAGCGCACCCGGGGACGCTAAGCCGGGGCCCAATCACGGGCGAGAACACCCGACCTACAAAAAATACGCGCCAAATTCCGGCGATTCGCGGCGGCCTCCGGGACTACGCAGCCGCCTGCGCACCGCAACCGCCTCTCCTCTCCTCTCCTCTCGAGAACTGCGTGAGGACTAACCGCCCGCGGTTGGTGCCTAATAAATACTGATTGGATGATTGGATTCGTTAGTTTGATTGATTCCCAGCTCGGGCCTGGGAACCAACTGGGTTGGAATGCTCACTGTCACTCCTACTTACCAGCCCAGCGATCTCCAGCAAATCATTGCCCCACCCTGAACTTCAGTTTCCTCCTCAGCAAAATAAAATGGGCCTGCCTTCCCACCAAATGAAATGTGGTGGTTAATTGGGTGTGGGCCAGCAGTGCTGGATGGCAGCTCCATTTAGGCACAGGTTTTTAAATATTTTGATCACTGCTTTGTACCCCATTCTCTAGTAGGTGCCCCGTATTTGTTAGTTGAAACCTTCAGATATTTACCGAATGTGCTATGTACCATTTTAAATCTCGGAGAAAAGGTCAGAGACAGTCTCTGCCTTAATGGAAGTTCTTCACCACTGGAGGAGACAAACCACTTGGGTTATTTGGGGCAAGTTAATCAACCTCCTGTCTTTGCTTTTCATCTATAAGAGTTGGACGATTCAAAGTGCTTATCCCCTTAAAGCACCTAGAACAGGACAGGTCTTGAGCACAATAAAAATTAAGTATTAAACGCACAATGTAATATTGGCCAGTAATAAGCGTGACAGAGCTGTGGACAAGCCACTTCTGATAGTGTGTTCACTGAAAGGCTCTTTTATTTTTTGATAAAATTTCAAACATATTCATAAATTGTAAGACTAGTAAAGAACTCTCATATACTTTTCAACCAGAAGAATGTTGTTATAGTCTGCCATATTTGCATCCTGTATATAATACATCCTTTTTCTTTAAAACCAAGAGTTTCTGACATTATATTCCTTTATCCCTTTATAGTTTTTCTGTATTTCCTAAGAGCAAAGGCATTATCATACAATCTCAGTACAAAGATCAAAATCAGGAATTTTAACCAGAACCTTCTTTTATTTAATACACCGGCTCATATTTTAAGTTTTGCTAATTGTGGCAAGAATGCCCTTTATAGCTATTTCCTGGGATCACTTGAATTCCATTGTCAGGACTCTTTTACTTTGCTTTAATCCTGGCAAGGCAGTTAGCTACTCAGCCTTCCTTTGTCTTTCATGACCTTGACATTTTTGGAAAGTACTGGCGGGCTGTTTTGTAGAATGTCACTAAATTGGATTTGTCTGATATTTTCTCACAAGTAGATTCAGAATATGCACTTTTCAACAGGAATTTTACTGAAAGAAGGTTATGTCCTCAGTGCCTCACATCAAGAAGCACATGACATTGGCTTGTCCCAATATTGGTGATATTAGCCTAGATCATTGGTTAAAGTTATGTCTGCAGAGATTCTCCACCATAAGTTTGCATTTTCTCTTTGTAACATTAAGTATTTTAGAGGAATATATTTTGAGACTAAATATTCTGTTCTTCACTAGATTCTCATCTACTGGTTTTAGCATTAATTGATGATTCTCATTTGGACAAATACATATTATATACATAACATATATGTATATATGTATGTGCATGTACATATATATATATAAGAGAAGGTGCAAATGTGGCAAAATATAACAAATTTTATTATTTGGTTGAAAGTATGTGAGAGTTTTTTGCTATTCTTAAATTTTATGTGGACATTTGAAATTGTATCCAAAAAATAAATAAAGCTTGAAACAGTTCTTGTTAAAATGGTTGTGAAATGGTGATCAGGAGACCTTATATAAGCTTTTTAGGGCTTGCCATAACAAAATACCATAGACTGTGTGGCTTAAATGACATTTATGTACTCATGGTTCTAGAGCCTAGAAATCCAAAATCCATGGGCAGATATGGTTTCTCCTGAGCCTTCCTCCTTGCCTTGCAAATGGCTGAATTCTTGCTGTGTCCCCATGTGGTCTTTCTGAGGAAAGAAGCCTCACCCTGATGTTTTTACCAACAGCTTCATTCTAATGTAATCACTTCTTGAAAGACCTAATTTTCAAATATGACCACTTCATAGGTACTAGGGGTTGCAATTTCAACATATAAATTTTATTGGGGGGGGGAGGGGACACAATTCAGTTTATAACCATCCCTTTGGAATGACATTTGAGTTGATACCTAAATTTCAAGAGGCCAGCCATGCTAAAACTAGTGAAAGTTTCTTCCAGGAATAGGGAACAGCAAGTGTAAAAGCCCTGAGATAGGAACAAGTTTGATGGTAATTTTCAGCCAACTAGTGAGAGTGTAAGATGGTAAACCAGTTGGGAAAAAAAACAACAGTTTGGCAGTTTATTACAACATGCAATGTATATTTACCCTATAGTCCAGCAATTCCATGTCTTGATATTTACCCCAGATAAATGAAAACTTAACATTCACAAATAGATGTGGTTAAGAATATTCATAGCAGCTTTCCGCATAAGAGCATAAGAATCCCAAACTGGAAGGCACTCCCCTCCCATGTTCATCAGTAAATGAATGCACAAATTGTGGTTATATTCATACAATAAAGGAAAAAAAAGTAATGAAACATTGATACTCAACAAAAAGAGCAAAAGAGTACCTAATGGATGATTCTATATATAATCTTTTTTGTTTGTTTGGCACTGAGGATTGAGCCCAGGGGTTCTTTACCACTGAGCTATCCCCCAGCCCTTTTGGAGGGGTAGTGTGAGGGGGTGCCAGGGATTGAATTCAGGGGCACTCGGGCCACTGAGCCATATCCCCAGCCCTATTTTGTATTTTATTTAGAGACAGGGTCTCTCTGAATTGCTTAGTGCTTCGCCTTTGCTGAGGCTGGCTTTGAAGTTGTGATCCTTCTCAACCTCTGGAGCCTGTGGCGTTACATGCATGTGCCACTGTGCCCAGCTCCCAGACATTTTATGTTTTATTTTGAGGCAGGGTCTCTTAAACTGCTAAGGCTGTCTGCAAACTTGTGATCCTCCTGCCTCAGCCTCCCAAATTGCTGGGATTACAGGTGCATGCAACCGGCCCAGCCCTAGAAGCAATTCTTGAAAATGCAAATTAATTTATAGTGACAGAAAGCAGTTTAGTAGAGGGGTGGGGTGGGGAGGGAGGGGAAAAGATAGAAAACAAAAGCGCCTGAAGCGCTGTTGGACTGTTGGGCAGTGGATAGGTTTTGTTATCTTAATTGTTGACAGTCTCCAGGGTGTGTTAAAACACTCCAAATTGTACCCTTAAGTTTAGCTTATGTACTTCGATTTTGCAACTTCACATCAATAAAGTTATTTTTAAAATGAAAGGAAAAGATAACATATTCTATGTTTCTATTGATATAAAGTGGTGACAATGGCCTTCGGTGGCAGAAATCATATCAGTGGTTGTCTTTCAGGCAGATATTGATGACTAAGGGGCACAAAGTGACTTTCTGGGTAATGGAATTTGATTGAAGTTGTACCACAATAAAGTTTGTTTAAAAGGTGAAAAAGCAAAACAAAACTTCGGCTGTGAACACTTGTGTCTTACCTTGTTTTATTTTCGAACTGGGGATTGCCCCCAGGGGTGCTTGACCACTGAGCTAGATCCGCATCCCTTTTTATTTTGAGACAAGATCTCACTAAGTTCAGTTTCTCAGGGCTTGCTAAATTGCTGAGGCTGGCCTTGAATTTGTGATTCTCCTGCCTCAGCCTCCTGAGTCACTGGGATTACAGGCATGCAACACCGTGATCAGCTACTTAGAGGTTCCTAAGGGCACAGTCTGCATTGTGAAGCCTTACCCTGTACCTGCCACCCCTCATTCCACAGGTTGAACCAGACCCAGGATCTTTCTTTCTGGTTACTTTTTCTACCGGAATTTTGACAGATTGTATATAAAGTTCCAGGAGAGTTATTTTCTTATTTTAGGTTTGCTTGAATTACAGATGTAACCTATATTCACCATTATGATTAATAACCAACACCTGTGAAAATTTTCTATCCACCACAAGGATTAACAAAGAATTCTCAAGACAATTCTGAGAAGTACTTACATTTTAAAGATGAAGAAACTGAGGGTAAAAGTTACTCAGCTGGGGCTGGGGTTGTGGCTCAGTGGTAGAGCACTTGCCTAGCATGTGTGAGGCCCTGGGTTCAATCCTCAGCACCACATAAAGATAAATAAATAAAGGTATTGTGTCCAACTACAACTGGAAAATATTTTTAAAAAGGTTACTCAGCTGGGGTGGGGCCTGGGCCTGCAGGCTTTTCCTTCCCCACCCCCACAGCCCCTCCCTGAGGGAAGCAGACTGACTATTCATAACAATCTCTCTTTTACATTTTTCTCTGTCCATAAAAATGGTGTCAGGTTCTTGACTAGAGCTGGTATTTAGTGACTGAAGAAATATAAGAAAAAAAGGAAGAGAAACAGTAAGGTTTTAGGCCCTTCTGGTGGGCCTGGGATGCAGAAGGGAAGCCCCCCATGTGCTGGGGGCCTGTTTGCTGTATACAGGGGCCCGTGTGAACGCCAGGCTGTTAGCTGTGCTCTTTATACCAAAGGAATCACTGAAATCGAATTAGACAGTGGCTATACCGAATTTAAGAGAAGTCATTCATTCAACTAACTTTATTTTTAACCCTTCCTATGTGCTAGGCAATTGTAGAGTTGATATAAGGGGAAGAACAAGACCAAACTCAGTGATTGTGTTTGAGTTGACAAAGAAAATAAAGTACTGGAATTATGTAATCCCACATAATATTTGTCTATGAAGGACAATAAAGTTGGCAAAGGGATGACCAGGAACGGGGAGGGTGCAATTTTATAATGGATGGTTTGGAGGCTGGATGTGGCGGCCCATGCCTGTAATCCCAGTGACTCAGGAGGCTGAGGCAG